AGAAAATACTTATTTTTTAAAGCATATACTTGACAGCAATCTAAAACAAATATAATGTATGTTAGAGAAATCCCATGTCTCCCATGAGTGTAATTATCAAGCACTGGTCAAGAAGAATTTTGATAACAGAAAATTGCATGTCAAATTAGAGAGAAATTAATGGGTTTTGAGTGCGAGGAGCTAACTGACAGAGCATTGGTGTTATCTATATCCCTTGAGAATTGGGCAAATGGGTAAGCCTGTTTGATTAAAAATAGCTCTTGTTGACTAGCTTAAGTTTTGAAATGAATTTGATGAAAAGTAATTAAAACTAATTTAATATTGCATAATAGACTAATCTGATATTATATAATATTATTAATTTAAAAACTAATTTTATGGGGTGGAGTTGAATCAACATGTCCATATGAATTACATATTAAAACCTGTCGGACATTAAATCTCAACCAAAAAAAAAAAAAATCTTTGAGTATTTTATATATTTTTTAAAAAAAATTTATAGTAGATAGTGCAGACCCATTCATCTCTTGGTAGTAATGAGTAGACAAGCATCCAGTTAAAGATTAATTAATGAGTTCAATGTAGGAAGGCTAGCTGTCTCAGTCGCTCTGATTAAGCAGCCCTTTGGGGATTAGACAGAAGAACTGCTGGTCAGTTTATAACATATGTCATTTGATGGCCAGCCTTTTCTTTTCAAAATTAATTTGGTATAGATTAAGTTGTTAAGACTAATTTGATGATGGGCATTTGATAAGGTCTAACACAACCAGCACAGAAATCTATCAGTGATGTAATATTTATTATAATTGATGCCTACATCACAGGGGATGGATAAATATTTTAAGGAATGGAAAAATCATCGAAATCTTAGAATCAAGGTTGATGTGATTTTCTTGCACCTAAACTGTTCAAAAAAATTGTAATTTTTTGACGGGCGTATCATGCTGTGGCGCGGCACTTTATTTTTATTTTATCATTGTTATTTGGTTTATTAGTTTAGAGTTAAACTTTAAATCTTTGATTCAGAGAATGTGTTATTTAAGAAAAAAATCCACCAATAGTATACAATACTTCATATTTTTTTTTATAGAGGGAACTTCCACCCCCACCCCCTCAGTCAACGAGACCACCCCCTCCTCTCCCAGAACCTGACCAAGATGTGTATGAAGTGGAACCAGAACCGGAACCTGTACGGCCTCAGGTAATTCAGTGTGTTTTAGGTAGTTAGCCTTGACTCCTTCATGACATACTGACCCAGTTAGCACCAAGGTACATGTACTGGAGATTAGAAACAAAATAGATAGTGATAAACTTGTAAAATGTTTCAAAACTCTAAGAAAAGAAAAAACAAAAGAAAAGAAAAAAATCTAGTTAAAAGTTGCCCTCAAAAGGTAATTGTGAAAAAAAAAATTGTTGTCATAGTAGTTGATGCATACATGTACAGTATAACAAAGTTATAAAGAACTTTGATATAAAGAATTCTTGTTTATAGGGAAGTTATCTCCATTTCCCTCTCCTCATATCATATCACTTTTGTTTCGGATACCTACATGATAAAGATATTTGGTTACAGGGAGCCAAAAAATTGTGTCTCCTGGACTTCTTTACAAGCAGATTTTACTGTATAGAAATGCTGTATTATTTTGCATGGCATGGTACAATGTAATCCTTATGCACATATTACATGTACCGGTATAATACTACAACTATAATGTGTAAAGTACACTTGCCTTTGTATACTTCATAATATCTTATGTCTGTTATAGCCTATTATTCTGTATAAACTTGTTTGCAATAGTCTCATGTACATTGCAAAATTTAATACACCATGCATCTTTAATTATGGTTTTTGATACACAAAATTGCAAATCTATATTTGCCGTTTAATGAGAATAAGGTGACCATGGCCTGTATGATTAATTGATTATATCTCCAGTTTTAGGATTAATGTTCACCCTTGCTAGTATTAGGGCTAAATATACATATATATGACAACTGTTTACAAATAATGTTTGCTTATACAGTAATGTTAACTTATACGGAAAACAATTTTAGATAAAAGAAACATTTAGAATATATATTTAGAATTTTTTTTTTTATATATTTTACTTTGGATCATTCAAAAATGTTCACTGATTGATTATCTTTCAAAAAACCCCTGCTAATGCATTAAATCAAAAATATCGGAGACTTGAAAAATTATCAGTAGATGAAGTATGTTACATGTGTCCTTTAGCGCATTTTTATGAATTTTTATATATGTTCACCATTGATAGGACAAGTTTTAATGTTGGCACGCAGGCTTTACACTCTCTATAAATGGCATGCACACTCTTTGAGTGTATGTAATAGTGTAAGTTCTATGTTATTCTTTGTCTTCTATGTACTGTACTGTCATGCATGACTGACCCTATTCCAGACACCCCCTGAGGAATCAGGGGAGAGTATATATGAGATGGAGCCTGATGTTTCTGACCAACCCTCCAAAGCACCGCCTAAGGTATAAGGGTAGAAAGTTTCGGACATAATAGCTTTTGGTGATGGGCACTTCATGAGTGTGGAATCATTTTAATTCTTGAGGGTCAATGTCTGTGGGTTAAAAATAAATTTGGTTGGTTTGTGGGGACGTAATTATGAGGGTAACGCATCTATTCTGATATGATTCAATGCAAAGTACATTGTATTCTGACAAAATAATTGCTTGTGGGACTGGAAATTTGTGGAAAAATGTGACTCATGAAATCCATCAACATTGGTCCCTTGTGAGCAATAATGATTCCACAGTGCTGTAAATGAAATATATTTAGCATGTAGGATATTTTTATTAACAAGCATAAAATGATTTTACAAATTGGTATAGATTTGATTTAGCACTTTGTGAACTTAATTAATGTGAGCAAAAACAAAATACATATGCATACAACACATTTAATAACAATGTAATTGATTTAATGGAAGGTGTCTTTTGCAAAAGGCACTAAAAAGAAGACACAACCATAAATACTTCATTTACAGTGAAGCTTGTTGTAATGATATGTTCATTTTGCTATTGGTAGACTGTCATGATTAGCTTGCTATTTTTTTTTTCATTTTTGATTTTTTTTTTGTACATTTATCACTAGATAATTATGACTAATGTTGTAGAGCTAAATTCCATATTTATGATTAGACAATTAATAAAGAAGGGCTTGCAATTGAAATCAATTGTTCTCCAAACCCCAATTTTTGAATTACTGCTTTGAAATATATATATGCTGGTGCTGTAAAAAGCATTTTGTTTAACCATATATAAAAGAAAAGTGTGCATGATTAAATGTTGTATTTTGATGACATTTTAGCAGGTGTCACTCTTTAAATATTGTGGAATCATTTTATTCAATGGGGGTCAATATTTTTTGGAAAGCATTATTTTACTTGTTCGTTGGGACATAATTTTGTGGGTTACTTGTTTAAAAACTAGATTCATTGCAAAATTATATATTCAAAAAATAAATGTTTGTTGGGAGGTAAATTGGTGGGTCATGGTAAACCCACAAAATCCACAAATATTGATTCCCAAGAACATCTATGGTTCCACAGTAGATGTTTCTATACATCTTCAAGAATTATGGAATATTTTAAAGTGGGATAAATTCACTTAAAGAAATAAATTTAAATCTTAAAGCAAGTAAAAGAAAAGAAACAATCCCAAAACATATACTTTTTAAAAATGAGTAAATTTGAATTCATCCCACTTTGAAAAATTTCCACAATTATTCATATAAAGTTTGCTTGAAAAATCATACTGCATAACAGTTACTAGTATTATGAATGGATTACTTGCATGTCATTTCTTTTGCTTCAAAATATATTCATTGTTGGCATTTACTAATTTGCAGTTATATCTTGTAATCAGGCCCCAGGGCCATAATGTTGAACTTGCTCACTTTTGACCTCAGTCTCACTTATCCATTATTAATTCCTTTGTTGAAAGTGAGACTTAATCAACTGAGTTCATCTTAGTTTTATGACCAGAGCCAGAACAGAGCTTTTTTATTCGGATATAACTCATTTTTAGCTCACCTGAGCCGAAGGCTCAAGTGAGCTTTTCTGATCACATTTTGTCCGGCATCCGTCTGTCCGTCTGTCTGTCTGTCCGTCTGTCTGTCCGTAAACTTTTCACATTTTCGACTTCTTCTCAAGAACTGCTGGGCCAATTTCGACCAAACTTGCCACAAAGCATCCTTGGGTGAAGGGGATTCAAGTTTGTTCAAATGAAGGGCCATGCCCTTATTCAAGGGGAGATAATTGAGAATTAGTGAAAATTTGGTGGTATGTTTTAAAAATCTTCTTTCTTAAGAACCACTGTGCCAGGAAAGTTGAAACTTATGGGGAAACATCCTCAGGTAGTCTAGATTCAAGTTTGTTCAAATCATGTCCCCCGGGGGTAGGGCGGGGCCACAATGGTCGACCAAAGTTTTATATAGAAATATATAGGAAAATTCTTTAAAAATCTTCTTCTCAAGAATAGCAGAGCCATAATTGCTCACATTTATATGGAAGCATCCCCAGGTAGTGTAGATTCAAGTTTGTTCAAATCATGACCCCCGGGGGTAGGGCGGGGCCACAATGGCCGACCAAAGTTTTACATAGAAATATATAGGAAAATTCTTTAAAAATCTTCTTCTCAAGAACAGCAAAGCCATGACTGCTCATATCTATATGGAAGCATCCCCAGGTACTGTAGATTCAAATTTGTTAAAATCATGACCCCCGGGGGTAGTAGGGCCAGGGCCAAAATGGCCGACCAAAGTTTTATATAGAAATATATAGGAAAATTCTTTAAAAATCTTCTTCTTAAGAACAGCAAAGCCATAATTGCTCATATTTATGTGGAAGCATCCCCAGGTAGTGTAGATTCAAGTTTGTTCAAATCATGACCCCCAGGGGTAGGGCGGGGCCACAATGGCTGACCAAAGTTTACATAGAAATATATAGGAAAATTCTTTAAAAATCTTCTTCTCAAGAACAGCAAAGTCATGATTTCTCATATTTATATGGAAGCATCCTCAGGTAGTGTAGATTCAAGTTTGTTCAAATCATGACCCCAGGGGGTAGGGCGGGGCCACAATGGCCGACCAAAGTTTTATATAGAAATATATAGGAAAATTCTTTAAAAATCTTCTTCTCAAGAACAGCAGAGCCATAATTGCTCATATTTATATGGAAGCATCCTCAGGTAATGTAGATTCAAGTTTGTTCAAATCATGACCCCGGGGGGTGGGGCGGGGCCACAATGGCTGACCAAAGTTTTACATAGAAATATATAGGAAAATTCTTTTAAAATTTTCTTCTCAAGAACAGCAAAGCCATAATTGCTCATATTTATATGGAAGCATCCCCAGGTAGTGTAGATTCAAGTTTGTTCAAATCGTGACCCCCGGGGGTAGGGCGGGGTCAAAATGGCCGACCAAAGTTTTACATAGAAATATATAGGAAAATTCTTTAAAAATCTTCTTTTCAAGAACAGCAGAGCCATAATTGCTCATATTTATATGGAAGCATCCCCAGGTAATGTAGAATTAAGTTTGTTCAAATCATGACCCCCGGGGGTAGGGCGGGGCCACAATGGCTGACCAAAGTTTTATATAGAAATATATAGGAAAATTCTTTAAAAATCTTCTTCTCAAGAATAGCAAAGCCATAATTGCTCATATTTATATGGAAGCATCCTCAGGTAGTGTAGATTCAAGTTTGTTCAAATCATGACCCCGGGGGTAGAGCGGGGCCAAACTTTTGGATTCAAACTTTTGAATAGTAAACCAATTATTACTTTTTCCTATCCACAATGCTCGGGTGAGCGATGTGGCCCATGGGCCTCTTGTTTTTAAAATCCACTCAGTTTTCACAATTTTTAAAAACATGTACCAATCATTTTATAATTTTGTATAAAACACATGAACTAGAATTTAATCATAATTCTTGACATAAGTATAAAGAGAGTAAAATGAGAGACACTAGTGGTGAAGAGCACTTGTACATGTATTTTTGTTTTAATATCAGTATTCCCCCCCAAACTTTTGCGTAATATTTAATAATCTTATTATAGGCTTTTTAACTTATGTGTGAGCTAATCTGGCTTTTAACAACTGCAAAAAGAAACTAACAGGCTTTGAATGGTACTTGTTAATCTTCGTATATTTCCTTGTTGATGATAGATCTCTATTGATTTTCAGCTGCCAGGGCGACCCCCTGTACCCATCCCTCCACAGGAAACATATGAAATTCAAGATGATGATGAGGTATTTTATGCTTAATTTTTAAAATTTAATCAATTTTAAAAAATATGAAAAAGAAATCATTTTATGATATGTGTTTATAGAGATGATTTTGATTAGTCATTCTGAAAGGAAAGCAACACTTGTGTAAATATGCATTTTTTTCACATCAGTATATTTTTTTAACCACAAAAAATTACTTTAGGATCCCTTCCTCTCCATCCCCTTTTAAAAAATCAATTTTGAATTCAAAATTTTCATTTGGGTTAAAATTTTCTGAATCACAAAAGATCACTTCAGGATACTGCACCCCTTAAAAATTATCTGTGAATTCAAATTTTTCGTTAAGGTTAAAATTTTTTGATTTTTTTTATATGAATAGATTGTCAAAACCATAATCCTCCTCATGCTTCTACCATGAAATCAAATTCCCTCAAAACCATGAAAAAACATGCATCCACTAGGACAAAATAATGCAGGGTAAAAGTTATCATTCATGGCATAGAAGTTTCCATGCATGAAGGATCCTGGAGTGAACATTTTTGTTAGTTTGCATTGTATCAATCTATACCTGTATGATGGGAATTTGTGTAGAATGGAATTTTTCATTAAAAATAATATCACAAGGGACAATTATAATAACTGAGATCTTAACAAGATGATTCAAGAGATAATGACTATTGCTGCAAAAATATGAATTTGTGAAATGTTTGATGTTTATTATTACTTTTTTTAGCAAGAAAATTATGATGAATTTTCCATGGCAGAAGAGGAATTTCCACAGGTTGGTGTGTTTTGCTGACAATAAATATTAAAATGAAGGAAAAACTCTAGTTTAATTTTTTTGGCTTTTTTCTAATTTTTACATATACTAGACAATAAATATCAAAAAGAGGGAAAAACTCTCAGTTTAATTTGGCTTTTTTTCTAATTTTTACATTAACTGTACTAGACAATGAATACCAAAAAGAAGGAAAACTAGTTTAATTTGTTTGGCTTTTTTCTAATTTTTATGTATACTAGACAATGAATATAAAAAAGAAGGAAAAACTCTAATTTAATTTGTTTGGCTTTTTTCTAATTTTTACATATACTAGACAATAAATATCAAAAAGAAGGAAAAATCTGGTTTAATTTGTTTGGCTTTTTTCTAATTTTTACATATACTAGACAATAAATATCAAAAAGAAGGAAAACTCTAGTTTAATTTGTTTGGCTTTACAATAAATATCAAAAAGAAGGAAAACTCGAGTTTAATTTGTTTGGCTTTTTTCTAATTTTTATATATACTAGACAATAAATATCAAAAAGAAGGAAAACTCTAGTTTAATTTGTTTGGCTTTTTTCTAATTTTTACATATACTAGACAATAAATATCAAAAAGAAGGAAAACTCTAGTTTAATTTGTTTGGCTTTACAATAAATATCAAAAAGAAGGAAAACTCTAGTTTAATTTGTTTGGCTTTTTTCTAATCTTTATATATAATAGACAATAAATATTGAAAAGAAGGAAAACTCTAGTTTAATTTTTTTGGCTTTTTTCTAATTTTTACATATACTAGACAATAAATATCAAAAGAAGGAAAACTCTAGTTTAATTTTTTTGTTTTTTTTCTAATTTTTACATATACTAGACAATGAATATAAAGAAGAAAGAAAACTGTAGTTTAATTTGTTTGGCTTTTTTCCAATTTTTACATATACTAGATAATAAATATCTAAAAGAAGAAAAACTCTAGTTTAATTTGTTTGGCTTTTTTCTAATTTTTACATATACTAGACAATAAATATCAAAAAGAAGGAAAACTCTAGTTTAATTTTTTTTGCTTTTTTCTAATTTTTACATATACTAGACAATGAATATAAAACAAAGGAAAAACTCAAGTTTAATTTGTTTGGCTTTTTTCTAATTTTTACATATACTAGACAATAAATATCAAAAAGAAGGAAATTCTAGTTTAATTTGTTTGGCTTTTTTCTAATTTTTACATATACTAGACAATAAAAATCAAAATGAGGGAAAAACTCTCACTTTAATTTGTTTGGCTTTTTTTCTTATTTTTACATATCCTAAACAATAAATATCAAAAAGAAGGAAAATCTCATTTTTTCATAGTACAGTCAAGGTTTCTTATCTTGAACTCTCAGTGGGATTATGAAAAACTATTAAAGATATATAAGGATTAAATACTGAAGGAATAATGATAAAAAATACTTATAAAGAATAATGGTAGAATACTTATAAAGAATAATGGTAAAATACTTATAAAGAGTAAGTGGTTGGGACTTGTAAATAACTTTGAGATATCAGTGTTGGAGATATTGAACATGTTGAGGTTAGACTGTAACAAGATTTTGTGCAATACTAATTTTGTATAGTAGGCAACAAGATACTGATTTACAAAGTCACTTAACAATGCATGGCCAAAAGTAGAGGATAAAAAAAATATTAGAGGAAGCTTTTTAATGCCTGAATTTCTATATTTAAAGCAGAACAGAAAAAAAAATATTTTTTAAAACTCAAAATACCAAACTTTGATTATAAGGAATGTAATGACAATAAATTAGGGAACTTGTTTTAAAGACAACATGTTTAAATGATATATCAAAAGTTTTTCTGATTTTATAAAAATTTAAAAAAAATTCTTTTTTAGATTTAATACTGTATTTGATCAAAATTTGTATTAAGTACCAAAAAAATATTCATTTGACTATTTTTAGTACTATTTTTAACTCATAATCTACACACTGAATTGTCTATAAATTTTTCCATTTGGCCAATCTTGACAAGGAGTACACAGTGGGCGTGATCCTTTGACAGGGGATGCTTACTCCTTCATGGCAACTGACTCCATCTCTGATGTGTTGAAGGTCCATGCTTGCTTCGCTTCCAATTTGTATTGTTTGAATATACTTTTTTTAAAAGCTTTAATGCTATCTCCATATTTCATTAGCTAGTTATGAAGATAATTATCAATGACGTTTTTTCCAATTAATTAGTGGGTTAGTCAGTAAACTTTGCCATCTGTACTAATAATCCATTTTTTGTTCCAGGATGCCAATGTTTTGCTTCAGGGTGCTTTCAATAATTTTTTTTCTTAGGATACTTCTGATGAGATTTTCATCAAGATACTAAGATAATTTTATGATTTATTTGTATTGAATATGGTATTCTTCATGTTGCTTTGAATACAGTACATTTTTGTACCGGGAAATTCATAAATACATTTTTTTTGCATGCTGACCTTCATGACACCTCACACCTGCATGATATTTGATATTTGATGTTTTTAAAGGTCCGCTTTTCTTCTGCTCCGTATTTGTGTTGTTTTATGGGCTTTTGAGCTTGATGTCAGTTCATTATCTCCATATTCTATTGTTTTACACTAGGACACCTACGATGAATTTGAGGCAGGTCCCCAGGAGGTTTATGAGGATGTGGATGAGAAAAACCAAGCCCCCCAAATTCCAGGACGACCCATGCCCCCTCCCCCTCCATCAGTACCTTCTCCCCCTAAACCAGTATATATCATTGTGCTTCTACTTCAATGAGTAATGACTAGAATGCAGAAAATAGTAATGATCATGATGATGTTGAAGCCTTTTTTTTTTGCAAAAAAGGTTAAGGTAAAGATTTAGAAAATGTAAGGGACCATCAAGGTATTTGTTTTAATCTGAGCTGCCAAAATTTGGCTGAAATACATGTATTGCCAACATGTATTAAATAATATTTTGAGAAGCTAATTTCTTTAATGGTAGCTTGACCAAAAAAGTTATTAGTGTATTAGGGCATATTTTTCATTGCATATTACAAAATCGAAAAACTGTTTTCATTACAAAAAAAATTAAAAGAACCTAGCTGTTATGTAAGTATGGGAAATTTTTTTCAGTATCAAAAGAATGAGATAAATTTTCAGATTAGTAATGGTCTCACATAAATTATAAATGTTTCCTTGGCCTCTTCTATCAAATGATAATTCAGGTACTGTAGAAGTACTTTTTTTCCGCGTGGTATTAATTTACGCTGTGTACGTGATTACAAATTTTCCGCGGAAATTTGTCCCAGCATACTTATTATAAATGTAAGGCATATACAGTCAATTCTCGAATTATCGCCATTCGATTCATCGCCATTTTCGCAATACCGCCATGATTTCCCAAGAACGTTTTTCCTGCTATATAAAATTCTCTTTATAACGCCAAATTCACATACCGCCATCCGCCATCTTGTTTTCAAAACAAACGTTCATTTTTAAGTGTCAATTATCTCGATAATACCGCCACAGGTGGATATGGTCAGTGAAGCGCGGCTAATTGGTTGACGCTATCCTGTTGTAAAGCACGCAAAGCCAGTTAAGGTACATGCAATTAAGTAAACAATAATTTTAACATGAACTGTGAAATTTTGTAAAAACATTAAGTAAAGGCTTCGCAACAAAAGCGGCAGTTGTAAAGAACACCGATAACGGTATTATTTTGATTATCTTTGCCTTTAAAAGCAATGCAAAGTTTGCTAAAAAACAATTATAAGTAAAAAAATTGTGAATGTTTCATTAACAATACTGTCATAAACAATGAATTTATTCAAGAACACATTTTACATACTAGAGACAATAAATCACGACGATCGACCCAGCATTTTTTTATTCAATATCGCACGCGCAGATTTACATGCATACACATGTACTTGTCTTTATTTCATAACTAAATATTTTGTTTTAGCAAAATTTACATAAAACATTACTTGAAGTATTTTCAAATTTAGTTATATGTTTATAGATACATGAAGTACATGTAAAAATAAGAACAGAAACGCTAATTGGTATTTTCAAGAACGATAACTGTACATCTAATTCCTAAAAGATAGAAAATTCAATTCATCGCCAAATTCGTTATACCGCCATGATTTCTAAATTACAAAAGGTGGCGGTTTATCGAGAATTAACTGTAGTGCCAGTCTAAGAAATCCGCATAATTTTCTACCCTCGGATTAAACAGAAATTGAGATTCCGTGGAATTATGACCCGTGGAAAAAAGTACGCCTACAGTATCTAGATTACTTTACTGACATTTCAAATTTGTTGTCACGAAAATTCATAAATTTCTTACATAATTTTAGCTCAAAAGTAAGAGAGTTTTATAATGTTAATTATGGTTAATTATGGTATCATAATAAACCTAAAACCAGAAAAAAATGTAAATTCATTATCTAGATCTTTACCTTAAATGTCCATATTGCCTAAGCATTGTTTGTGCTATATATCGACAAGGAAAATGGAGGTAAAGAAGTGGTAAGATTATGACATTTTCCAGAATTACTTTATGAATTGACATATTCAAACAAATATTAGAAATGGACCCCTAACAATACAAATTTAGTGTCTGTATGTTAAACCATAACTCTGTCAATTCATTTACTTATTTATACTTTTATCTCTTTCAGACCCTTCCACCTCCAAAGAAAGGTATTTTGCAAAACTTTTCTAAAAAATCAAATGCTGTGATTGAAATTAAATTTTGGTTTCATTTTTGCAAATGTCATATGTAATTTCAAATCCCCCATTTTTCAGCTCCTGCTGAACCTAGACAAGCCCCCAGACCCCCTATAGGTGGGGGCCCCATGGGTTTTGATATCAGTGCTATCAAAGGAGTTCAGCTCAAGAAAGTGGGATTGCCAGTGGAAGACAAACGGAAAGTCAAGGAGTCGGACAAAATTTACGATGAAGATGGAGGCGTCAAATCAGCATTTGAAAAATTCAAACAGAAAGGTATGGAAGAATAGAATTGAATGAGTTAAAGAAGAAGTACAACTTGGTGGAAATATTTCCAATTTAAAATTGTATTTATTTGGATGGGAAAAATAGATAGATTACCTTATAAGCAGAAATTTTAGTGAAGATTTAATTTTGGCAGCAAGGGAGCTGAGATAGCTAAAATTGAATATCGCTAAAATTGATTGCGTTTTATTTCTTAAAGCTTCTTTAGTGAGAATTCTTAAATAGCTAAAATTTTATCTCGCTAAAAATAAATTACCACTTTTTAATGATAAATCGCTAAATTTGTGTCTAGCTAAAATTTCCACTCATATGGTAATTAAAAGAAAAGTACAACTTGTTGGAAATATATGTGAATCAAAACTGTATTTTCTTTAATATCAAGTAAATGTGAATTTTGTTTCTGCAAGTAGCAATGCTTTATGCAAATTTACTTTGCATCTGGATTAAAGAATAAAGGTCTTTATGTTAATTAAGCCTTCTATTGGAGGTATAGATATCCTAATAAGGGGGCTGTAGAAAAACCAGGAAGAAATTGTATGGAAGAAGTATAAAATTTGTGCTTGTGATGAAAAGCAGATGATGGATCCGATAAACTCACGTTGCTTATTTGTCAGATAATAACCAGGTTTTTTTGTAAATATGTTTGCTATATAAAAATTGATATATTTATAAAATAATAATATTTACAGGAATTTCTGGCTCTCTGCTGTACATGTACAAATTTTCATCTGTGTAAATTAAGGATTTGTATCAGAATTGCTCTGTACAATATGTTTCTATAACTTCCAACAAATGATAATCAGATTTTCTTTCAGGATCAGGTGTAGAGCAAATAGACTTTAGAAATATTTTATCTAAGGCTAAAAATAATATTCCCCCAAATGACACCGGAAATAAGCCACAGAAAACAGTACCACCAACTCCAATGAAACCCCCAGTGAGCAAATGGGGATTGAAAAGTACCCAAGGGGAACAAGGTTCCCAAGAAAATGTAACCAAAAAACTCCCTCCTGTGCCTCACAAGCCATCAGAAGAAGAGCAGCAAACAGAATCACCTCAAAAATCACCCATACCTTTCAAACCCAAGCACAGCGATCATCATACCTTCCCAGAAGTTCCAACACCAACTGTGAGGTTGTCACCCCTACCTGATTCACCTCAGAGAAAGGAGGTGCCAGTACCTCCGAGGCAAACTGGTCCGAGCCATGACACGCCTCCCATCCCGGCCGTGAGGGTCAGTGTCTATGGCACTCAATGCATGTCTCTATAACACCAGCATAGCATGGATGATGAACTCTTAGCTCCTTGGGGTTTCACCTATACTCACACACCTATATATAACATCACAAAATATAACCTATGCTAAGACAATATCCTCTCTATCAAGGATATGTTGTATATATATTTATATATATATATATAATTTCATTTTTTATGAAATACGTATCTGGACACAGAATCACATTTGTCTGAAATTGTGCAATCATGTTTAAAGGCTGTAGAGTGTTGCACTTGATTTGCTTGATAAAAAGAAAATTTTAAACAGAAAATAAGTAATATTCCAGTTCTAAATATATATTTTTTGATGCCTTCCAACTAGATATGACATCCCAATCCCGAATTCCACAGAAAGTAATTGGATGTATCCTGAGATCTATATTTTACCGATCAGAAACAATGAACATATTGTGTCAAAGACTTACTTTTAGGATCCGTATTTGCTATTAGTGATCATAGGTTGTTATCCTTGTAAATCATCATCATACACTTAAGTTTATTCTCTTCGTGTAATGATACTGAAAAGGCACCTTTATTTAGAAATAAAGATGACAATCATTATATTCCAACATCGCTATTTACCCTTTGGAAATATTTTAAGATACTGGAATAAAAATAAAACATGTAGTTATTAAATTGGTTTTTGACAGAAAATTCTTTAGTATGTATTTTTTTTTTTTAAATTTTATTTGATATTTTTTCTGCATACATTTTTTTTAAAATTAAATTTTTGATTTTTTAAATTATATCACTTTCTTACCTTTCATATTTTTGAATCTGTTATTTATACTTATTTCTTGAAGGTTGTTTCTCAAACTATCATTTTTTTTATTCTAAGAGGTATTGAAATTTTCCTTTCTCTTCAAATGTTAAGAAAAAGAAGATTTTGAAGTTTCTACTCCTTTATGGAAAACTTGAATAACAATTTTTTTTTAATTAATATTTTATTGTCTGATTGTTTATTATTCTGTATCTTGTATCCAATACAGTGAAACACGCTTATAACGAACATGCTTACAATGAATTAATGTCAAATGAGAAGACATTTTCATTGCTTGGACCCTGAGGCTTTAAAATATTTTTGATTTCATGGATATATATTAATAATGATTTTTGTTTATAACGAAGCAAAACTGCCCAACCCTGGACACTTCGTTATCAGCGTGTTTTACAATATATTACTCTTTGCATGCCATCATCTTTCCTTCCAGACTTGGAATCATCTAAGACAAAACCGTTTCCAAAATCTGCAGCTTCTGTTGCAACAGCTCTAAAGAAACCGGTAACGGCAGCAAAGCCTGATTTTTTCCCGCGACCAGTTAAGAAACCTGAACCGAATAATTCAAATACCAAACCAACACCACCTGAACCTAAATCACCCATGTCGCCATCTTTTTCTAAACCGGTTAGTTCAAGAAAAGATAAAGTCAAGTTGTCAGTTTTGGTTTTCGTTATTTAATTGATCAAATGACAATGACGTTGAAAAATAAAGTATGGGCTTACTTGACAAACAAAACTATCAATTCACTTACTGTACGAGTATTATGTTAAAAATAAACCTTGCATACGTTGAAAAATAAAGTATAGACTTCCTTGATAAACAAAACTATCAAATCACTTATTTACGTTAAAAATGAACCTTGTAAACCATATACAATACAATATAGGTGTAGGTCATTTCAAAAAACAAAAATGATTTCAAAATATCTTCATTTTCTAGATCTTTGTTTCTGCGTCAAAATTATTAATATTATCAAAATTAAAATATTCACTATTTAATTAGAATTATATCATCTACACAGCACACCGAAGTTAACATGGGCAGTATGTAACGATTCACTCGTTAGTAACGTTATGTTGAAAGTTTTTATTATTTAATTTACTTATCACTCCTTTAAATTGCATGTTTCATGAATAATTATTTATAAATATATAGAAATGATCATTTTGCATATTTTTTCTTTGATTCTATTTCTATATTTTTTCTATTAATTTCATTTTACCAGTATTTAAAATTTACTATTAATTTTTTTTAAATGCTCGGTATGTTTATTCTGAATGTTGTTTATCAATGTTCATCTTCGTTTCAACTATGAACTAAAACTTTGACAAAAAAATTTAGACAATGATATTTACTGGAATGAATTGCTATTGTAAAAGATAAAATATTAGGGAAAAAAAAATTAAACGTTTCTTACCTCACTTAAGTTTATTTTTAGTAAACATCTCTGTGTCCAATCTTACAGCGATCTCCCTCCCCCTCTAAGGAAACACCTCCTCCGCCCCCGCCCGTCAAATCGGTGCCAGACAAACCTCCCGTGCCTTACTCTCAAGTCAAACCCAATGTCTCCAATGGCACCAAGATGAATATAGAGGAGGACCACGTCTCGTCAGATGATGAGGATGATGACATTTACGATGATGCTATTTCAGTAAGTGGCTTTTGATTTAAAAAAAAAAAAAAAAGAACGAAAAAAAAAGCAATCTTACTTATATTTCAAAACCGTATCAAAAACACAACAGTGTTGATACTCAGGTACGTGTAATAGCTATACCTGGTAGATTTTAGGTATATTTAAGACACTCAAATCCCTACATCATCTTACCCTCGAATGGCTTAGATACCAGGCTCCAAGATCATGTAGCAGATTTACTCTTAGGTCATATTTTCAATCTTACTTATTTTTCTTTTGATAAAAAAAAATATACCCATACCTAATTATTAGGTATAGGTATTTTTTTTTTATGAAAACTAATCAGGTGCCTGTGAATGAAATTTATATATATTGAGTATTTGAAAATAACAGCATTTTCACGATGAATTTAAATTTTGGACTATTTCACTAGGACAAAATTTGAGCACCAGATAAAATTTTGGACTTAAGGTTAAGATCTTTCATGATCCTGGAGCTAGATATCTTTTAATTTTCTTAGAAGCTAAAGAACAAGGTAGAGTTTCAATACAAATTAAGCTCTGTATTTTTCAAAAATATGAAAATAATATAAGAAATTAAAATTCATTCTTTCTGAATAACAGGAATTACATGCAGTAAGAATACACAAATCTTTTTCTTATATGACCTACTAAATGCTAATTGTGACGTCATTAACTTGTGCATTTTCTCGTATTTTCTTACAAAGTTGCAGAAGACATCAATTTTCAGTGGAATTTTCTTTCAGAAAACATACTCTGCCACCGTCGCCTACAAAGATTTTGAGATATGTGATTTTTCAAAGCAATTTACATAATATATCCAAAAATTGAAGCGAGCATAGTGGCAGACACTGTTTTCTAAAGAAAAAAAGCACAGAAATGATCGAGTCATTCTGAGGCTTTTCTGCTTTAAACTTAGAAATGTACCAAATTAGTGATGTCATATTTCTAGTATGATCCTCCTTCATGCCATATTCTTTAATGATTTATCATATACATCTACTCAACTATTGTTAAAGCTACTTTCATAACTTTTTAAGAACATTGAATTTTTAGGGCACAATAAAGCCCAAATTGTACCTTCTTTTTTTCTACAAACTAATATATATTGATATGTTGAAATTATTTAGTACGGATGTACATTTCATCATCCTACCTTCCTGTTTGAATTATTGAAATTTTCTTTAAAACAAGAGAATCAGATACTCAGTATTGAAAGCCATGATGTTTAAATATGCAAAAGTTTGGTCCAAGATAACTACCGGTCTTCTTGCTTTAAAAGGAATTTAACAGAAAATTAACTACTAGTATATAAATCCTTCATTATTTACATGACGTATTTTGATTGAATTGTTTTGAAAATCAGTTCCAAAGGAAGTTTATGTACTTAGTATTGGTCTATTTATTATTGTTGTTTTTATTATATTTTTGTAGAATCGGGATCCCTTGTTAGGTGAACCCTGGTATTTCAAATCATTAAAGGATAGAAAAACTGGCGATAGGATGTTAAAGAAAGTTGGGAAGGTAGTACATTTCAGAGATGGTTTTTCAACATGTATATTTATATTAGGGGGTGATGTAATTCAGCTGAATTCCTGACGGTATCCAAATTTAAATTAAAGTAACATATACATGCAATTAGTTTGAAAATCATAACATTTCAGTTCTTCAGACTTGTTAATTGAGGAATTAAATTTTAGGATGGAACATTTTTGATACGAGAGAGTACAAAACAAGGAAATTTCCAGCCCTATACAATGATGGTCTTATTCCAAAACAATGTGTATAATCTGAAAATTCGAGTACGAGCTGATGGCAAAATGGCTCTGGGAGAGGAAAAACCGGATGAAATGGTGGGTAGTGTTTATTTCATTCATTATAATTAAAAAGTGTTGCATGGTAAGTTAACTCATACAAGGCACCTGACCCCACCTCTTGGGTTCGTGTTTTATGCCCTACACATAGATTGAACTGTTGTATTTTGATTTTTTGATATTGAATACATAATCCTCATCTCTGTATTTATTGAAATGGAGTATCAATTATTTATTTAAAAATAATTTATAAAATATTTGACAAGCATTTCAAATTATATAAGCTTTTTATTAATAAATGAAGATTTGCAATGAAGTTCCTTTAATTGAAGAACAATTTGTCAGAAGATCACTTTCCACTAACCTTATTTATGTTCCCTAGAGTTCCTGAAGCAGCTATTACTAGTACATTTATTTAAAATATTTTAAAAAATCAGTTCAGTTATTAACTCTTAACGAAACTTAAGTTTACAGAGAGTGTACACTTTTTTTCAGTCTTTTATGGATGTCCAGAAACTGGTCAAGTACCACAGAGATACGGAGGTTATATTAGTCGGAAACACAGGGCAACACAAAACATTGCTCAAATATTCTCCTCCCCAAAACTCCATGTAATTAACAGCAACATCTAATGAACAACAGAAAAGTGCTTGTAAATAATTTTCTCCATAATACTCCATCTAAAAATCAGTCGAGAAATGCTTAAATATTTTCCACCCCAGATCAACAAATGACCTGTTTAAATATCCCCACCACAAGAATTCTTGAATGTGAATGATGATGTCCAAAATAGAGGGGCTGTATTGTGACAGAATTAAAAAGTAGATAATTTTATTTTACAATATTGCAACATTCCTACCAGTAAATTAATTTTATAAGATTATGCGTTTCTGTTATGTTTCTGAATGCTAATCACATTGCATTGATAGCTTGTTGATCAATTAAGAATATTTTTGGTATCCCAAACTTGATCAGTCAATATTTTTTTTTTAATATTTCATATATCCGATATGTATTAATTTTATTCACTCTTAGCTTCTTTATGGAGTATTTTGTGTTATTGGCGTGAGAGAGTTAGTTTACTGCGTTGTGATATGCTGAAAATATAAGATATATTCATGTTCGATAAGATTTTCCAAAGGGTTTGCAAATGATATGCTAGTATCAGCATTTTCCTATAATATATGCCAGTGTTAACAATTCCACAGTGCGCAAGTGTAAGCATATGACATGGTATACTTTTGTATGTTAGGTGAAATTAAGAAATGCTGTAATAATGCTTTAAGATGCATGTTTCTTGACAAAATTAGAAAAAAATAAACTTAATAAGTCAAAGACATAAATGATCCATATAGTAGGACCATCATTATTTTTAAAGCATTATTTTGTATAATAGATGAAACTGTATTATCATCATTTGGTGCTTTTTTGTGTATGTTTGTATGTGTGTATGAGTTAAACAGGTTTAAGTGTTGATGTGTTTTGTATTTCTGGTGTAACTGACCCAGGAAATACTAGTAAGCTCGATACAGAAAATAAGGTCAACATTGTTTCTCTGTCAAACTTTGAAACAGAGGAATAAATTTAATATCAACTGAAATCAATGATCAGTTAGTGCAAGGTTAACTTTCACTTCCTTTTTGCCGATTGAAAAATTATAACCTGTCATTTACACTTGTATAATGTTTTTTTAAAAATAGTAAGACATTCCTTTTTGTCCATTGTTTTTTTTTTTTTTTTTTTTGTTACTTGTTTACCTCATTTGTTAACATTTATATAAAAAAAAGTATAATCAGAAAAATGAATTAGTCTGTTAAATATAAAAATGTTTATTTTTTCTAACTGTTTACTTGCCAATACCATGTAATCATAAATTTTCACATAGTAAGGCGCTCGCCACATAAATGTTTGTTTCATCTTGTAAACATATTTGTTGTTTCACTGTTTATCACAAATTATAGCGAGAATTCTTTAAAAAAAAAACCTTATCTCATTTTAAATATCATGAAGTTTAATGCATCACATTTTTATTGCCTTTTTGGTATGTTTTTGTTTTTGTTTTTACTTTTAGGCAAATAAATTATGTCGAACATATGGAGATAAAAAGCTCGTTTTTGTTGTAAACTGTTTAAAACATATAGTTCATTTAATCTTGTAAATTATTCGTTAAACTGGCTATTTCCTCTGTGTGTGCATTATATGTCATGGATAAAATAGTATGTGCATGGAAAGGTACCTCACTCTTTGTATTTACGACAGCATAAAAAGCATAATTGTGATATTTAAGGACACAAAAATGTACATTCCAATTGTTAAATTATGTACAGAATACATATGTTACATGTTATTTTTTAGCAAGCTCGTTTTTCATATATTGAGTGTATTCATAAATGTTTTGTTTAAGTAATAATAACTGAAATGAAAAATTTATAATCGGAGATTTTCCCACTTTATAGTCGATGTGTAATACATAGTTATTGAAGTCATTGAATCATAAAAAAATGTGCACAACCACTGTAGATTTTTATATTTGCTCAGCACTGTAGTTATAGAAGCAAATTTTTCTACAGGAAAGTTTGATTTTTATCAGTACTTAATTTTAATTATTTCTTTCACATTTTGTATGTAAGAAATGAAACTGTAGTTTAGATAAAAGCTATACTAGAAAAGTTTAGATGTCTTGTTATATACAAAATACATCGCATTGTTCATGGCTTGTAGCTAAAGCTAGGTATCTAAATCACGAAAGAAGGAATGAAAACAATACTTTTATTGTGTGTGATACCCAAGGTTAAAAATTCATTTTGCTGGAAAACGTGAAAAAAAAAATTGGTGAAGTATTACCGCATATTTATTCCCTGTATTTTTTTTTTAATTTTAAATTATCTTAAAGTTAATAGGAATCTTAATAGGACTCTATATTTCAGAGAATGTCAAGATGGTGAAATAATAATTTGTTGGTGAAATTATTGATCAAAAGCATTTTTTGAAAATTAGAGTACCTAGCACGACACGAAGCAGATGGCGGACATGAACGATGGGCAGGGGGTTCTCGCTCCTTCATGGTACCTGATCCCACTTCTGATGTTTTAGAGGTCCATGTTTGCTCTGCTCCCAAATTTGTGTTGTTTAACGTTCTTTGAGCTTGAATACTGTTTCTTATCTTCATACTCGTATATTTTATTTTTAAGGCTTTGGACATTTAATGTTTTCATATTCATCCCCGTCTTCATCTCTTTCGTCCTTTCAGACAAAGATGGTTCACTGCAACATAAGGTCACTGGTCATGATAACATTTGGTTAGATGAATAATGGAATCTTTTTCTTAGGATAAAATACGAGGGCTGTTCAATAGATAATGTCCTGAACTGTATGACATACAATACAGGTATTATACAGGCACCTGACGTTACTTAATTTTTCTTTTAATTAAAAAAAATATACACATACCTAATAATAAACGTTTATTATTAGGTATGTGTATATTTTTTTTATTAAAAGAAAAATAAGTAACGTCAGGTGCCTGTGGTATTATATGACATTAAGCTTGACTTTTTCGCATTATTAAAATCTTTAATGAATTTATAACAATTTATGTGACCACTTTTATCACATACTAGTAGTTTTAATGTGAGAAGCTGGAAAACGAGGTCTATTCTAGACAACGCATTAAAAACTAATGGTAAAGAATCAGTAAACTGGGGTAAAATTAAACGCTTCATTAAAGCTGCTGTAAAACTCGTAAAGAATCCAAATGAAATGTTCACTGAAATACTCGACAGTATGTAAAATTTACGGCGACCAATGTCTGTTTTATAGACGAATGAGTAGGTGGATTTCAATGATAAAAAATTATATAATGGGCATCAAAAATGGGTACCGTCCTTGCCAGCAAAAATTATAACAACTAATGTACTGTTTGCCAAATTTCAACAAATAATTACTGATTATGTACTGATTGACTTTAGGACACATAGCAAATTTGATAGACATAATTTCGGGAGCAGTTCACACTGTTTTATAAAGAAACGTTTGAGAGTAAAAAAGCTTAGTACTCAAAGGTCCCCCTATGTTTTGAAAAAATGAGAGAAAACGACAGCGTGTAAGAATATCTAAATAATTATTTTAAAATGTCAGTAATTGTATTTATCCACGTTTGTTTGAATTTCAAACAGATAATGAAACTAAAATCTGTTGCTTAAAATCTTCGAAACAAAATTTACAATAAAATGTACTTGACAAAAACAGCAAAGGTCTGAGAAGAGCAAAAATAACAAGAGAACAAAGACCTATTTATATGCAATTTTCTTAAATGTTAGTAGTCTTGTTGTTCAAATTCCTATTCGGGGGCCAGTTTAATTTCTGGAAAAGTCTGGAAAGCATTTTTTCCAAATAAAATCGAAAGGTTAATGAGAGGAAGGGACCAGAATCAGAAATCCACTACATTAAATTTCTTCATGACAGCGTCCAAACTCGCACGCCCTGAAGATTAAAGGAGTTTTTGGGAAAAACAGAAAGTTATTATTTTTTTCACATTAACAATATTCGCCAGATCTTTCGCCTTTTGACTTTTTTCATTTTCCAACCTTGAAAAAAAAAACACCTTTCAGAAGGAAGACACGAATACAGGAAATCATAAGATCTGCCATTTTCCAGTATACTAAGGGTCATACCCAAAAATGAGTTCTTAAAACAATCAGAAATTGGATAAAAGAAATTACGGACACGTGTTTTAATTAAAAGAGAATATTAAGTTAAATCATTAAGACTAAATCATTGAAAAGCGTCTTTTGCTTCTTTCCGAGCACCGAGGACATTATTTATTGAACAGTTCTCGTATATGGAGACAACGAACAGTTTTCAAGATCAAATGTCCATAAAACAATACAAAATAGAAGCAAACAAGGACATTCAAATCAAAGGTGTGATCAGGTGCCATATAAATTTGAACATCCCCTGTCAACCGGTCAAACCCGCTGTGTGCTCCTTGTTATGATCGGGAAGTAACGGGAAATTCCGTCCTCTATTCAGTGTGAAAATAATGGACTAACAATTAGTATGAAAAGCGTAAGTCAGCATTTAAAGACGTACAACATACGGGGGAAGAAAACTCTTGCGATTTCAATTGAACGTTTGATGTGACGTCAAATTTAACGTCAAAAGTAAAGCGTCAAAATGACGAGTAAAACGATCCCGATGTATATTAATCATAAAAGAAAAATGGCTTTGCTGTGATTGTGAGTACCGTATATACTCGCCTATAAGTCGGTATTTTGGGAGTTAAATTTTGGTCCAAAACTCTATGTCCGACTTATAGGCGAGTCATAAAAATATAAGTTTTTTTTCCGGACAGTAGCATTTTATATATATTTCCGACGATAATTGATGAACAAAGTCTATATATGTATAACCATTTATGCATTCAAAGATTATACATTAAGTACAAGTATTTACTTAATTATATAGTTTTATTTTTATCTTAATCTGTATTACTAACTTATCTGTTTAATGATCCAGAATTAAATATCGGCGTTATTATAAAAAAAAAATATTAATGGAAACCAGGTAAAACCATCAATGCATTGATTTAATAGCCATTCTCTGTTACCACTTAAACTTCGTTGCCACGCATGGTCACCGATTTTGATGAAACTTCACCATTCTTTAGTACTTGACACTAGAAACAAATATCAAACAAAATTTCGTTGCTATTTGTTTCGGTTGCTATGGCAACAGCCGGAAAAGTTTGAAAAATCGAGATTTTCAGCCACTTTAAATCTTGACTGTGGCTTAATAAAAACTTGAAAAAGCAAACAAACCATTCTCACAAAAACATGACACCTTGATGTTACTTATACTGTAAAGAGACTGTTTAGAATATATCTCTAAGTAAGTGGTACCCAAGGGTACATTTGGAATACATTTAAAATGCTGAAATATGGTGAAAAACACTCCGAATCCACTAATGGTAGGTGTTACGTGCTCAAACTCAATCAACGACTTAAGAAAAACAATGAAAATGTTTGACCATAAGTATATAAGTATAAGCAATATTATTCTATAAATAACTTTTATGGTTGCCATGGTAACACAGTGTAGCCATGCAAAACCAGTAACTAAGATTGGGTTAATGCTGCTGTATTGAGGAAAAACATGAAAATTCAAGACTGGCAAATATGCATCCTTAGGACCTTGCAACACCAAAATCATAAGAAAAATTGGGTATAATTGCTACTTTGCAGTGTTACGATGGAAACAAAGTACCGGTGCTTAAAAGTGAATTATTTTTCGCTGCATTAAGAATTGAATTGCTATTTAATCAAAAACCAATTAAAGGACTCAGCTTGAATAGCACTTATCTGTTAGAAGTGAAGTTGAATATCACATATTGATAAAATTTGATGAAGAAAACAACACTGTTGCTGTGGTTACCAAGAAGGGAAAATGTTCGATTTTGTGAACGTTATATCAATATCAAACCCCTTGTGCCAACTCCTTGCATCCACTTAAAGATTGAATGATAGTCAAAATTAAAAGTCAAGTTAGCTGTTAATAAATATCAATCATAAAAGTTTTGGGAATCTACATTTAAGGGTATCCAAGGAAAGAAAATATTTATCAGGTTTTTAAGCATATATTTTCTGCTTATTTCCATAGCAACGCTCTATTCAAAGAATCTAGTCTGAATTTTTTTTCAAATGGGAAAACTTGGAGCACACCAGCATCTTTAAATATTGATCATTAGTTATGAGCAAATATGTTTTTTTTTAAAGATAGGATCAGATTTAAACATACAGAGTGTTACTTTGAAGGCTCTCTGTGGTATAAAAACCTTGGCAACCATTGCCAACCAAAATGAAATATCATATTTTGTTATTGGTATATGTTTCAAGGCTCTTTTTTCTATTACTGTAAACGTATTACATTTAGCGGTGTGTTCGAATTAGCGATTTTGGCGTTAAGCAGAGTCCGCTAAATCAAGTACATAGCTAAATGCCTTGTATACCATATAGGTCTATCTAGCACATGCAGATTGCGCTAAATCAAATCTACGCCAACTTGTTGAAAATTCAATTTCTGCCAAATATTATCCACGCCAAATATTATATATTTACAGTATTTGGTCACATTTCATCCTAAAATTGCTTTTTATTTTTACGTTTTTGACTTTATAAAATTCAATTAATATTTTTTTTTACATTTGAATACATGTACTTTGTTACCATAGTAACGTATGTAATAGTTGATTTACCAAACATGTTTATCATGCATTTGAAACATCTGACCCTCCACTTTTGGAAACAGTCATTGCAAATTGTTTGCTTTGCCGCAAATATAAATTACGGGGCTCTAAACATGTTAAAAAATGCCATTTTTCGAACTTTAAGACATGTTGCCATGGTAACTATCAAACATAGCAACCAATTTTTGCCTGATTTCAGTTTAGGGTATCAATGACTTTTATCATAGAGAGTTTGGAGAAATTCTGAGACTATGCGTGCCACAGTTCCTATATAAAATTTCAAATCATTACAGAGAGTGGCTCTTAAAATGTCAAAGGTTCTGGCAAAAAGTTGTACCGACTTATAAGCGGGTCAATGACAAATCCCTCCAAATTAACCTAAAAAAAAATACAACCGACTTATAGGCGAGTATATACTGGTCTTTA